CAAAGGAAGTGTCTCTTTTTGGCTGCATCTCTCCATAGACACTTGGTCCCCTGATATAAAATTATGCTGAAGAATAGGCAACTAAGCTAGTGAATTTCTAGTTGTCTTAGAAGGCAAGCGTGGTAAACCAGTCACATATACCATTTTATCTTCTACAGATAGCAGTTTGTTTTGGTTTGTTTGGTGGCATTAAGAAACAGTGCTTGCCTTTGTCTGTGTTGTGGGATCCACTGGTTATTTCCAGCTGCTGAATCCAGCTGCGTGTCTGAGTCACATTATTTTGGGATGAAAGTTCAGTCCTTGTCATTTCTCCTGGTACACTGGGAAAGGCAAGCAATGTGTATGGACCAGACGAAGGTTGCAGCATACTCCCAAGGGATCCTTTGTATGGCTTGCACAGTGGAACAGCCTTGTGATGATCATGAAGTCTTTGTCCCAAAAATAAATTCAGTTAATTACTTCTGATGTTTACTTAGTTACCCTTCTGGTTTCTGCCAAGACATTAACTGCCCTTTTGAGGAATATTTCCTTACTGATGAGCAAACTGATTTTGCAAGGTTTTCTAATTACTGGAACATTTATTGCACTGCGAGCTATATTGAAAGGAGTCACACATAAATATACAGTGCATTATCTTCTCTATAGTTCCAATCCAAATATTTTGCAGGGACAAACCATGAATTTGGTGGACTTCTTTTAGTAACTTTTCTAAATTTATGCAAATTGTTACCTCTCTCATTTATGGAAATAACTTATGCAAACCCATAAAAAATGTAAAAACTTGGAATTGTTGGGTATTGCTACATTTTGTCTAGTAACGCATTTGAATTCTACTTCTTTCTGGGGAATGCATAAATAATTGGATCCCATGTGACAGGTTTTTTTTGATATGCCCAATTTCTGGCCTGCAATTTAAAGTTTTGCCAGAATGTATTAAAGTGTACAAAATCATCACAAAAACAGGAGATAGTTGTGATTTTGAGTTCAAATTTTTTTATAAATCTGTGTAATTACATTTGGGAAATTTGTTTAAATATATCTACAAAATTAATTTTTTTGGCATAATAAAACAAGAAGGTAATCAAAATGTCACATAAAGTGCTTCTGAATTTTTGTTTAAGGTAATACTTAAAATGCAAGAAAATGTGATACCAGTCCTGCTACGTTGAACTGTATACTGCAAGCTATGTCTGTTTTCAGAAACCTGTGACATGAACATAAAAAGGGAATCTGCATGTAATTTGGGGGATTGTCTTTAATATAAAATGTGCTAAGTGCATTTGTACAGAGAAAAGATATTGTAGTTATAGTGGCCACTCTAATTACAGTGGTTCCAGAAAGCCTACATCATCAACACAAGATAAAATTACCGAAATTTCTTAGAATACCCAATTGTGTTTAACTAACATATATTTTCAAGGCTTATAAAGATGTGGGCCCTTTTCTTGCTTTAGGGATTTGAAGAGAAAAAAGTCAGATTATAAAATTTTTGGATCCCTAAGGTAAAAGTTCATATGAAGTTGAATGCAATAAACACTATTCTTATGCTGGAGGGCTGTAGGTAGGACTCTTGATAAGAACATATGTGTCATATGCCCCTGTGCTATTCTGTGCATTAGTATGTTTGTGTGTGGTGAACTCTTGAAACTACACTGGTAATATCTGTTTAAAGTGAAATTTCTGTATGGATTTTTTCTCTTGCACCACAGTAACAGGAGTGAACACTCGTATGGGTATGAGCAGTTGAAGTGGCTGTTGATTAAGCTGATATCGATCAAGTTCACACTGCGATCTTTGGAGTTTTGAGGTGACAAATAGATGGCATTTCTGGAATACTTAACAAAAGAAAGTAACAGAAATATTTATAAAGTAATGAAAATATGGATGTTTAGCACAAAATGGAGCAAAATGGTGGAAAACACTGCAAGAGAAATACCTTTTTAGCAGTTGATACTCCTTCTACCCCCCATCCCCATCTTTATTAGGTTGTCTTTTCTTGCTCCCAGGAAACTGTAATGGATACAAGTAGGAATTGTGTTTTATTTCCTCTTTTTCCTTGCGAATTAAGTCCCACTTTTTGAACTTGCTTCTTCATTTCTGTTCTTAATGCTTTTTCAAGCAGTACTAGCAGAGAACTTCCTTACACTCCTTTAAAAATATTCTTGAAAACCAACCGGTTCTGTGAACTGTTTTAGCCATAAAGAACACACCCCAGATGTGTTTGTTCTGATTTATCTTGCTCTGTACTGCTCTACTTTTGTACTTTGTACTTTAAACTGGGGCAAGGAATATTTGTCATTTCAATATATAAATGATATCACTAAGACAACAACTGGAATGTAGAGGGCTTATTTTCCCTTTTTAAAATAAAAAATATGTGTAATATGTGTATCACAATGTGTGACTGTAGCAATTATTCTTGTTCTTAGGAATAATACAAAGAATACTTAAAATATCCCACATCAGGGAAATAGAGACATTTTTAAAGCATGTATTTCAGACATGTTTTTTTCCTTTCAACAAGAAGCAAAAAACTCACTTAGGGTCTGCTTTTGCTCAATCACTTGTAATAAGAAAAAAAAAATAGAATCCTAGAATTGTTTAGGTTGGAAAAGACCTTTAAGAACATCAAATCCAACTGATAACCCAGCGTTGCCAAGGCCACCACTAAACTGTGACCCCAAGCACCCTATCTATAGGTCTTTTAAATATCTCCAGAGATGGTGACTCAACCACTTCCCTAGGCAGCCTGCTCCAATGCTTGACAACCCTTTTGGTGAAGAAATGTTTCCTAAGATCCAGTCTAACCTCCCCTGGCACAACTTCAAACCATTTCCTCATCCTATCACTAACGTGGAAGAAGAGGCTGACCCTCACCTCATTACAACCTCCTTTCAAGTGGTTTTAGAGAGTGATAAGGTCTCCCCTGAGACTCCTTTCCTCCAGACCAAACAACCCCAGCTCCCTTAGCTGCTCCTTATAAGACCCTTTACCAGCTTAGTTGCCCTTCCTCAGATATTCTCCAATACCTCAATGTCTTTCTGGTACTGAGGGGCTCAAACTGAATATAGAATTTGATGTGCAGCCTCACTAGTGCTAAATACAGAGAGAGAGTCACTGCCCTGCTCCTGCTGGCCACACCATTTCTGGTAAAAGCCAGGATGCCATTGACCTTCTTGGCCACCTGGGCACACTGCTGGCTCACGTTCAACCAGTTGGCTGTCAACCAACACCCCCAGGTCCTTTTCCATTGGGCTACTTTCTATCCATGCTTCCTGCAGCCTGCGGTTCTGCATGGGGTTGTTGAGAACAAAGTGAGGACTGGGCATTTTGCCTTACTGCACCCCAGACACTTGGCTTTGGTTCATCTATCCAGCCTGTCCAGATCCCTCTGGAGAGACCCTCCAGCAGATCAACACTCCCACCCAACTTGGTGTCGTCTGCAAAACAGCAGAAGGAGGTTCTCAATGTCTTCTGTTTGAAGCTCTTGTCACTGAAAAATTATTAAGACACCACATTATTTACCTGGACAGTAAATATCTTCAAGATTTCATGATCAGAAGTGCCTTTAGTTTTTGAGCTAAACTGTAAGGTGGGTGACAGTCAAATATGTTTCTCGCATGGACTTCGCTTTTTCTAGTGATGACTATCTGTGTTTGCAAATTTGATAGGTGAATGGATGTCTACAGTAACTTATATCTTGTGTTAGAACCAGGCACAAAAATAGAGAGAAATAAGTTGTCTAGAACACAGATAAAGTCTTCTTTCAAATTCAAGGGATCTGTATTAATAGATATTGGTATTGCATATCACTGAGGATGACAGAGTACTGTTACTTCACAATATGAAGTTTCCTGATGTTTGATTTTTCAGCACATTGTAGAAATTAGAGGAGGAAGAAATATATGTACTTAAATCTTGAAGAATAGACAGATATAAAAGGTCAAGAGAAAGGTGGTATGAAACCTAATTTTTTTTCCCAAATACCTATTTTGACATTAATTTTTCTGTAACTTCTCTCATATACAGTTTGTCTTACTTGTCCAGGGGTTGTTTTGTTAGTTTGTTTTCATGGAGACATTAGGATTCAAAGACAGGTAGTTTGGTCCTCAAAATTTTTGACAAAAACAAACTAAATTTTCTTATTCTGAGCTTTCTTGTTGCCTAACAAATTCCAAATGAGAAATCTTCACATTTCACTCTTCAAAGCTTCCTTTTGCTACTTTCTTTGCAGTAAGTATGATCATGGGGTGACTTGTTGAATCACCATTGAATTAGGACTTCACAGGTGGTAGAATACTAGCTGGTCAGAATTTTTTTAACCTAGAAAGTTGGTCTTTCCTTTGGAGCTTAGATGTCCCAGCAATATACTCTAAATTAAAAAAGAAAATTCAATTGAGAAACAGATATTGTAGTTCTTATATCAAAGAACTGGTAATAGTCTGTTCAAAAATGAATTTTACAAGCTCATTGAACGTACTGGGTTTTTACAAGTAAGTGCTCTTAAGAGGTGTGCTTCTACCAGTGATGATGGTGAAATGGCTGAGATTATATGGTTGCTTTGTTGGTGAAGAAAATGTGGAGCTCTTGGTTGAACGGCAAATGGCAATTTATCCTCTAATGCAGGCCAGCTGAGTCTCACAAGTAATTAAAATGTTCTAAAACCTTCATATAAACAGACTGGACCTACTGTGGATGCTTTGGCAGTCAATTGTTACTCCTCTTTAGAATTTCATTGTGTTTTATAGAAAGAGAACGTTTTCTGGTGATAGATAGCCTGAGTACTTCTATGCAGTGCTGCATGTCTCAGACAGTTTAAAGGACCCACCACACACCCCTTCTTTGGTTAGTACACATGCAGTTACATGGTTATTGTTTCAATAGCTGTGCTTACCAATCCGATAATTAATGTTCTGTCATATGGCACAGTCTGTACAAGCCAAGGCTGTTAAGTGTATTCCAGCTTGAAATATGAACATGTGAAAGGAGATAATGCTTACCAAGTTAGTTTGTATAGTGCTTTCCCAGTCCTTCTCATTGTTCACTCCAGCATTATTAACCACAATATCCAGCCTTCCAAAATGTTCAATTACTTTTTTGAAAGCATCTATAGGAAGATCCAAGGGTGAAATTTCTTAGCATTTGTGGAAAGTAAGACATAAAAGTACACGTGTACAAATTAATGCTTTATTAGTCTATCAAAATGTCTTCATTGTTTTCTTAGCCACTAATGAGCAACATGCAATTAAATGCTTTATCTAATATGCACTAATATTAGACATAATTGGGGAAACTGAAAGGATTAAGATACCATAGTTGCCTTTTCATTCAGTTTTATGATGTCTGATAAGAGGAGCTAATAAAAGTTCTTATCATCTATACATTTTACATCAGATAGGATGTTTGACACCCTAATTATGCAAATTAAGCATTTACAGCTTGATTTGTAACAGTTTGACACAGTTAGCAAATTCAAGATTTGACACCGTCTATTTTAAATGAAAAGTAAAAAGCTTCATGTGTTCAGAACAATTTTCTTCATTCAGTCCAATTTTTAGTTAACGAATAATGAATATGAATATTTCAAATACAAATAATTCATCATGATTCTTGTTTAAATGTATATATTTATGGATACAATGTAATACATCTTTCTTGTCGGGTAACTTTAATAATCTGTTTCTCAAATTCAAATCTTCTTCATTTTGATGATAAAAGTAGTGACCTGTCTTCCAAAGAATTTCAAAATAAAGAACTGGGAAACTTCCACAATGACATTGTGTTCTCCCAGGTGACAAGGTTTAGAACTGAGATAAAAGATGTCTGTGGAAAAACATGATGATGTCATAGTGAGGAGCAAACTCATCAAGTCTGCCTCTGCTTTGACAGGGTAGTTGGATGAGATGACTTCCAGATGTTCATTCCAAACTAAGATTTTCCAGGACTAAAGACATTATCTGACATGTACATATAGCTTGTTTGGTTTTCCCTTGATTCTTATCACTAAATATTTATTATTATGTAAACCAAGACACCACCTCCACAGTATTATTTTAAAAAACATTGTTTGATGACTGACTGAAAATCTACAGTGTTTCAGGTGTACAGAAATTATGCTTGATAGGTCTTAATGAAACTATTTCACTGAAAGATGATCCCAGGAACGTCTTCATTCTCTGATCTTTAGTATTTGGCTATTCAGGAGCATAGCAGCAGCTTTCAGACACCTACATATTTTTACAGCAGTTGAAGGGATGTACAAAGTTTTTTTTGTACCAGACAAGAAAAACAGTCAGTACTGTTACAGCCTTTTCTTTGCCTGAATGCTGCAGGTCCATCATGCTCTTCACATGAAAACAAGAGCTAGGCAGCTGATGGAAATGGTTTTATTTGTCCAGTTGCCTTTATTGTACAGATTTTTCTAATATTCTTATTCCATACTAGAATATTGTAATATTACTAAATCCTCTAGTTTTGGCTGTCTGCCTTTTTGGCTTTTCTTATGTTTGTTGCTAATTCTTTCTCTTTTTTCTCAACTTAACTCTTTAATCACTTCTCATCTCACCAATCCTCCATCAACAAGGGTAAATGGAAACCTTTGGCTTTATTACGAGCAGAACTGAGTATTTAACTTAGTTTCTGTGAGTAAAATAAATACCATTTGGGTCCTCAATTAACTTCCAAATTTTGGAAACTGGATGATTCCCTCTTAGGCCTTCTCTAAATAACATCTTTCATCAACCTAATTCTTAATAGAATCTTTTGCCTTCAAAACCCACCAGGGATAATAGTAATTTTGCTAATTATTTGTTTATTAGATTCACGGACTGACTGTGGTTTTCTAGTTTACCCATTGAGAAAAGAGCCAAATGCTTTTCAGCTGTTTTCATATCTATGTTTGGAATATTTCTGGTAAAAGTTTGTCTACAGTAATCCCATCTCTTACCTATCCCCAAAAAGAAGAAACTTGCTGTAAATTCTTAGTAAAGTTCTCACTCACACATCAGTATAAGCTGACTTGTTTTTGCCTTTTCAAATGTAGAACAATTCCTTTACATTGCATGCTAGTTAGTGCTTATGGAACCATAAAAATTAAAAGCAGATGATCATATGAAACACTGAGTGAAGAAGTAAAAATGAAGAGGAGTTTCCATTTTAAAGGAAAAGTAAGAAAAACAGTGGAAACCAAGCACAAACAGCAGTTATAGAGGAGCTTCTTAGATATCCTTGGAAAGCAAAAGTAAATGTATGGTGATTTTTCTAAAGTAGGACAAAATAGAAGACTTTTATAGGAGACTGAAAGAACCACCAGAGAAAAGAGTACAGGTAAGACTTGAAAGTAGATGAAGCAGCTGATTTCCTACCCATAAGCCTTGTGTACCTACAGATACTAGTTCTAGTATTGGGACTTGTTTCCTGCTGTAAGGGCTAAAGTTATAAAAAGAGGCTGCATTCATGCACATGACCTTTAACATAAAATACAGGACTTAATTCATCCCATAAGACCTTTAAACACTAGGTATGAAATTAATCTAAATTCATTAAGCAGTAGCATACAATTACAAGTGAAAAAAATTGAAAATAAAGCAGTCAGAAAACCCCCAAACAACAAACACCACCAAAAACAACACAGAAACCCAAAAAGATTGTAAGACGTGGTTGCAAATTTATGGTAAGAAATGTACAGCAGGATTAATATGATTATCAGAGAAGCATATACAACAGCTGCTCTTTCTGTTTGTGAGAGCCCATTCCAATCCTACTCTTTTCCTGCTAATTTGGTTCTAACACCTCCCTTGCTGACCCATTCTGCTCACTCCAGCTCCCAGTTCACACCCTATTGGTCCTGCACTCCCCTGGCACTAAAGAAAGGAGGAATTGTGGGAGAGAAGGCACACTGGGGTAACACCCATGCTACAGCAGATGTTACTCCTACCCCTAGGATGCTTTTTCTTGCTCCTAGGTTACTCCTCCCACTTGGAGAAACAGTCAATAATCAACCTAGCTGATAAAGACTTTGCTGATTAGAGAAGATCTCATATTTAAAGTCCAGCATCTCTCTTACAGACAGGCACTGTAAAGCTATGGACTTAGGTATAGTCATGCTAGCTTGGAACTGTAAACAATATTGCTGAATTCTGGAATAACTGTAATGTTTTCTAAAAGAGGAATGGATATGCTCAATGACCGCTCTTGAGAAAGTGACCAGTGAAGTTTAGCGAACAAAAACAGAACTAAAAATATTCACATCTAGTTTGGCAGAAATTAGTCTGGGGAAAGAGTGCTGAAAAAAGGGATGTCAAAATCTGTATCTGAGTCACTACCTATGATTGTATCATTTAATAATGAACCTTTGATGAAGTGATGTGCCTGTTATGAAATATTGTGAAGGGTGTGCATCAACATTATATGATATTCTAGGAACTCAGTAGGGTACACTGTTTCACTAAGTGAAAACAGAAGTGCAAATCATTCATGAGGGAAGCTCCTTGCATTCCCTGCATCTGCAAAATGTGTGTGAGGTGTTATCACCCCACAGATAACATCACAGTACAGTAGCATGCTATTTTTTGCTTTCAACTGTGGCAGCTCTTTCAGCTGTGCCAGCATGCAATGAAAGTAAGTGTGCTGGATGGAAGGAGCACTGCAACCCAGTGCAGAATTTATTATGAGGGAATGCAGCTTGGAATCTGTACTGAAGCCTCATAAAAACCAAGTCTGAGCTTTAAAGTATATATATATTACTCATAAAATAACAATTATCTTCTACAGAGGCTTTAATGCAAAAATATCACATACAAAACCTCAATAGAAAGGATTTCTTTGGCTTTTCTTTCCCATGTGCGAAGGAAAAGGGTGAAATTGTGGTAGTAGTATTTCACATCTGCAGGTTCGGAAACAAATCCTTTTTGAGTCACTGTCAGAAGCGGTCGGGAGCAGGCTGTCCCCCAGAACCTTTCGGTGCACTTTTACCGGTGCGGCAGACCGGGCTCGCTCCGGTCGCTGCGCTTTACACCGGAGCGCAGCGCTGAATTTCCCTACCTTTCAGCTGCTCCTCATCCGTCACGTCACACTGGATGAACACCGTCCTCTGCGCTTCAAACTGTTCGTCCAGGGCCGCCTTGCTCTCTTGTCCGGCCTCGGAGTTGCGGTCCAGGAGGGCTACCTGAGCGGGGAGGGAGGAAAACGAGTGGCGGGCGGGCGGATGGACAGACGGACGGGTCCCCCGCCGAGCCGAGCCGAGCCGAGCCCCGGGGGCTGCCGCCACCTCGCGCCCGTGGGTGCCGGCTGGAGGCAGAGGGGAGGGGAGAGAAGGGGAGGGATGGCGCGCTTCCCGAGACTTACCTTGGCGCCCTTGCCCAGCAGCGCCTGTACGAAAGCCCGTCCGATGCCCTGCGCCCCGCCGGTGACCAGAGCCACCTTCCCATTGACGTGCATGGCCGCCGCGCTCCTGCCGCCCGCCCCGCGCCCGCCGAGCCCGAGCAGCCCAGCGCGGTGTCACCTGCCCGCTTTCCTTTCTCCCTCCCTCCTGCCCTCCCTCCTTTCCTCCTCCCCCTCCTGTGAGGGGGGAGCCGCCGCTGTGGCTCATTCCCCCCGCTCCCTTCTCGTGTGACCGAAAGCCGCCCGGAGCTGCCTGGGCGGGGGGAGTAGGGGCGGAGCGGGTCATTAAATCGTTCTCCCGAGTGCCTGGATGAACCCCAGAGATCAAGAGCCAGAGTGGAGACCAGATTCATGCCCTCTTCTCACTCCCGGGCTTTCCGGAGAGGACAGGCTCGCTGTGTCTTCCCAAGAACGGGTCCCAGCTACAGCTCCGCTCGGTGGAGGGGGGGATATGCATGTGTGTGTATTAGAGTATTTGAGACTCCATAAATCGCGTGAGAAGCTGCTACAAGCTTTGATAAGGGCTCTTGGCAGCTCTTCGGGCTGTGTGAGTTTTGGTTGGCCCAAGTTGCATGAGCAGCAGGGTGAGGAATTAAGAGTTCAGCCTCGAAAAAAACAAACATAGGGCCCTTTTTCACACTTCAAAACAGTCCACCAGCCTTCTACCTCTTATTCTGCTACTAAGCAGAATCTATTTGCATGAAGAAGCATCCATTAAATGTTATGGTTTTTAGACATATCAAGGTAAGTTCTTTCTAGAAACTTGCAGGTCTGTGGATAAAGTAGTTTATACCTTAAAATGTGTTTAACCACTTTTACAGTTTATAAGCCAGATTCTGTCTGCTACATTAATGTGAACTGTATGCAACTAAAATTTCTCAATACCGAGGTATATCACTGTACATTAGAAATAAGAGCAACCTTAACAATCTGAAAGCTGAAATAAATTTTCTTGCTTAATAGTCTGTTATGAGATTCACAAATGTTGTCCCATAGAAAATGCAATGTTGTGGAGTGTTGGGCAGGCAGAAAAATTCCATTGTTTCAGTCTTAAGTTCTCTAAACATGTACATCATGCAAGTGCATGTGTGTAGTAACACACACACACTTGTCTTTTGTGTTCTCTGTTTTCTTTTGCCTGGTGTATCAGGTTTAAACTTCTCGCTTATGCTTTCAAGGCCCTGAAGTACTCTGACTCAGACTGCATCTCTATCATTAATGTCTGTTGCCATTTCTCCTAACTTCTCAGCAACTGTGTGCCTACCATGCCTTCTCTCTTATCCCAACTGCCTATTTTCTACTAGTCTGCCTTCATCTATGAAATTCTCCTCTTTTGTATTACCTAGAAGAAAGAAATTACATTGTTCCTAACACCAGCAAACTATTACAGAACCATTAAGGTAACTATGTTACCTAATTGAGTAAATTGAGTCAATTGGGTAATGCAAGATCTTGTTATTATAACCTTTGTCCTTAAAAATGTGAACTAATATAATCCAGCTGCTTTATTGGATCTCAGCCATTTAGTTTTCCTAAAGATCATGATTCACAGTACTTCATAAAAGCAGTCAGAGCTGGCCTCTGGGGTTAGTGAGTTGTTTGAATATGATACCCATGTTTCTGGGAGGACTCCAGATTGCTTTGGAGCTGTGAAATTTGTGCCACCTAAAGTGCCATGCCTAATGATTTCTTTCCCAACCAGCTGAGCCAGCTTCCCTAATTTGTTGGGAGACAAGTACAGTGCCAGGTTAAAGTCACATCATGAGAGCAGTATTACCACACAGGGACCTAACAATAGCATTGTAGTTGAGTCTTTCACCCTCAACCCAAAGCTGATTAGCCTCCCCTTCCTGTTCTCCTCTACCCCTTATGACCAAGTCATTATCAACATCTGTCATGGTCTTTATTTCTGTGATGTAATAATATTTTTTTAAAGAGCTATGCAAGGGAAAAGATCAATAAAGCCCTTTGCATTTCCAAACAGCTGTAGCTGGAATGACCTTTGGCAACCATTTCTTAAATTGTTGATAGTTTGGCATGAATGTTAAGAACAATCTGGACTCTTTAGAGGTTCTGGAATGTTTTAAAATCTGAGTGCACACACTGTTTCCATAAAACAAAGCTTGTAAGTCTGCATCCCAAAGATCAGCTTGATTGAATATAGTCCTGGGTATCATAGATTGAAATTGTTTAGAAGTATTGTGATAAACTAAACCAGGGTTCTAATCTGTTTTTGTTGCTGAACAGGCTCTTTCCATTATTCCATTCAAGAATATAAATGACACATCTTGCAAGATGGCAGAAAAAAAGGTTCCACATTGATACCAGTAAATTTGGAAAAATATATTTGAAATAAGACACAGTGTTCCTAGCCAAAACAGTATGTGCCAATCCTCCAGATCTAGGCAGAAGTAATAGAAGGATGGCTCTGTGACTTACCCCTGCAGACAGCAAAGTTAGCTTGACTGTAAGAGATATGTACACTCTTCTCATTCAAACCACACTGGATTTGTTGCCAACTCACTACAGGTACTCTTAAGAAATTTGTTGGAACATAGTCCTTTACTGCCCCAAGTTTGCAATAAGGACAAAACATTGCCCATAGGAAAAAGCTCCTTGTAGACATTTGCCGTGTTAGAAATCCAGAGTTAGCATCTCAGTCTTCTTGGTGAAATCTGAGGGGGGAGATAGTTATGAAATATTTTTCTTCTGTGGTTCATAAGTTGACAGTTTTTGAACCTTTCATTCAATTTTCAGGAAAACTTTCTTAAAAGCATGAGGACTTCCATTTGTCAGTGTTTCAATGGTCCATCTTTTCAGATAACCCATCCTTAAGGAAGAAAAGTACCAAAGTTCACATAAAAAGTTGGAAGAACTGTCACAGCAGACAGTAGCATACTATAATCTGTCTTCCTAAATGGCCAGTTTACAGAAGATTGAGTATATGCTTTGGGTACCTTGTTCTTTGTGTACTGATATGTTGATTTAAGCTGATATGTTCATTTAAGAAAATGTGAGGTTGCATTATTCAATGGTAGAGTTAAACCAAATCTTACCACATTTATGATTTTTTTCATCAAAATGAAATGTGCACTAACACTTGCCCTAAGGGGTTCTTATCCAATACATTAGTTAGACTCAAAAATATCACAAACAACTATTATCTGAAATCACTAGGAAAATGTCTGTTTTTTTTGCTTTTCTTTCGTGTCTGTGGTGCTTTCTCTTCCATTTCCCTCCATTTACTTAGTCCATGCTGCACTGTTCCTCATAGAACACAGTGGCATCAAAGTGGGAAGAGACTCCAGGTAGTTTTAATCTGTTTTTGTGAAGGAATATGATCTCTCTGAGACGTATGCCGTCCTGTTCATTCAAAAATGGTTTTTCAAAAAAGCAACCCATGCCTCATTTTTGTTACCATCTCTTCATTCTCTGCAAGATGTTTTCCAAGTTGCTATGAAAACTAAATAAGTGACATCATACCTGTGGATGGATTATCAGGCAGTGCATATAGCAGGACATACAAACACAGTTAGGCAGCATGTGCACTTTGGTATGTAGCTTAGTGCATTTCCTCAGCTTCTACTGAGAAGAACAGGTGGAAAACGAAGATAGGGAAATGACACAAATGTCCAGCTTTGTATGGGGTAATTAAAGAACTGATTTCAGGTCACATGCTTAATCTGGTGTAACCAAACCTTCCTTAACAAGAAACTTAAGTGTTCAGCAAGTATAAAACAGTTTTCCATGTCCAAGAGGCTTTTTCATAATGAAATTTCTGTATACTCTCTTTGCATGTATTAAGTTGAAAGGCATCAATTACTGCATGAGAAGATGAGGTTATGCAGCTGGGCATTATTTCAGATATTATATGTAAATAATATAAAATAATATAAAATAATTCAAGACATAAACTGGTTGCCAGAAATATCTAACTAACTCAGAGGGCAAGAAACTAAATGAACAATAGGCTCAGAGATTTGCCAAAATGCATTTTTAAAGCACAACATCATGTCATCTCATGGTGGGTGAATGGCTAAATTATTTTGTTCATCCAGGACAACAGCAGTAGATGCACAAAAATGTAATGTACTTGGCGAAAATAAGTGAAAACAGGATACATCAGAGTAGAGTACAAGAAAATAGTTGCGAAAAATCTACTTTTATGGTGCTCATGCTACATGCTTGAGATGTCAAGACTTCCATGGTGAGATTTGGAGTAAGACACTAAAACAGTCCTGTGACTGTCTGTCTTTTCAAAAATAGCAGGCTGGATAGAAGACAGCACAATATGGTGGGTTTTTTAAAATACAAGAAATAGAAATTGAGGTTAGTATTATTGTCATAATAGAAATGACAGTTCATGCATTAGCAATATATGAGAATAAAAAGGCTTGGTTTAGTAGCTTAATGAGGATCATACAGTGAAGACTAGACCACTTGGCATTATAAATTAGGAAAGAGAAGTCACTGAGGACATTAAAAAAGGGAATGAGAAACTCATATAGTGCAATTTCCTGATTCTTAAGAATATCTGAAAAGTATACAATTTTTGTGAAAAGATTTGTCAGAGCATGTGGGAGGATGTTACAGTAAATGAGAGGCAAGGGAGGCAATGACTGGTTTTTAGATTGCCTTCAACTGATATTAGAGAAGGAATGCTAAGAGGGAGAGAGAGTTTCCTGTCCGTTTGGAAGTATCTACTACTACTGAAAGAAAAGTTTTGAAATACAGAAAATAATGTGGTAACAGATATCTAGGGAAAAGGGGAAGAAAATAGCTGCCTAGGAAGCTAAGGACAAAAGATTTAGGAACCCTGTCCTGGATACCTATTCAGAGAGGCTTTCTAGCTCTCCAGCATGTGTTTCCTTGACCAAATTCCTTCTGTCATGCTGAATATTGATTCAGCCTGTATCTTAGGCATCACAATTGTAAAGTTTTCAATCCATTGTCCTGCATATAGATGAAATAACTGAGGATCAATAAGCTGTTTGTGTTTCACCGTAGATACTTAATGCTTTTAAGGAAAAATAAAAGCTCAGAGCAATTAATGTAACACAATGCTCAATGAGGATATAAACATTACTATTAAAACAAATTTTAAAAACTTACTAGATAAGGTAGGAAATTTGGGTTTAATCTGATGCCTGAGATAACACATTTAAAAA